CAGCCAACAACAGACAGGTATATGAGTTGAACATTTCCCTGAGGTAGATACACTCCTTGGAGAGAACAATCATGGGAGAAAGAAGGGCTACTTATGCACAGGGAGACAGCTCAGGGGGCAGGAGTGCATGGAGGGATGGACATAGGGAAGAAGTAACTATAAGGAGGTAGTAGGAGGGGAGCTGTTGCATTGTGGTAAATTGGGTCAATGTCATGAGACAAAGTGTATGTGAACTGCAGTACAGAAAGTGAATTTGCTCTGTAAATTTTTACCCAAATCACAATAAATAAATAAATATTTAAAACAAAAAAAAAATTACTATATCTGGCTTCCCCCACAACTAAAAAGGAGGCATAACATCTGGTGAGCCTCTTTGGGTTTTGGAGGCAACATATCCCTCATTTGGGTGTGTTGCTCTGGCCTATTTATCAAGTGACTCAGAAAGCTGCTAGTTTTGAGTGGGGCCCAAAACAATAGAAGGCTCTGCAACAGGTTCAGCCTGCTGTGCAGGCTGCTCTGCCACTTGGGCCATTATGATCCGGCTGATCCAATAGTGCTTAAAATGTCTGTAGTAGATAGAGATGCTGTTTGGAGTCTTTGGCTAGTCCCTATTGGTGAATCACAACACAGACCCTTGGGATTTTGGATCAAAGCCCTGCCATCCTCTGCAGATAACTACACTCTTTTTGAGAAACAGCTTTTGGCTTGTTACTGTGCTTTAGTAGAGACTGAATGCCTAAGCAAGGGACACCAAGTCACCATGAGGCCTGAGCTGCCCATCATGAACTGGGTGTTGTCTGATGCACAAAGTCATAAAGTTGGATGTGCACAGCAGCACTCCATCATTAAATGGAAGTGGTATATCAAAGATCTGGCTCAAGCAGGACCTGAAGGCACAAGTAAGTTGCATGAGAAAGTGGCCTAAATGCCTATGGTCTTCACTCCAGTCACATTACCTTCCCTCTCCCAATCTGCACCTATAACCTCATGGGGAGTTCCTAATGATCATTTCACTGAGGAAGAGAAAACTTGTGCCTGGTTTACACATGGTTCTGCATGATATGCAGGCACCACTCAAAAGTGGATAGCACTGGCACTGCAGACACTTTCTGGGACTTCCTTGAAGGACAGTGGTGAAGTGAAATCCTCCCAATGGGCAGAACTTCAAGCCGTGCATATAGCTGTTCACTTTGCATGGAATAAGAAATGGCCAGATGTGCGATTGTATACGGATTCATAGGCTGTGGCTAATGGCTTGGCCGGATGATCTGGGTCTTGGAAGGAGCATGATTGGAAAATTGGTGACAAGGATGTATAGGGAAGAAGTATGTAGATAGATCTCTCTAAATGGGCCAAAGGAGTAAAGATATTTGTCTCATGTGAATTCCCACCAAAAGGTGACCTTGGCAGAGGAGGACTTTAACAATCAGGTGGATAGGATGACATGTTCAGTGGAAACCAGCCATCCTTTTTCCCCAGCTACTTCTGTCATTATTCAGTAAGCCCACGAACAAAGTCGCCATGGTGGTAGTGATGGAGGTTATGCATAGGCTCAGCAACATGGATTCCACTTACCAAGGATGATTTGGCTACCGACACTGCTGAGTGCCTAATCTGACAGCAGCAGAGACCAACTCTGAATCCGTAATACAGAACCATTCCTCGGGGTAATCAGCCAGCAACCTGGTGGCAGGTTGATTACATTGGACCACTTCCATCATGGAAAGGACAGTGTTTTGTTCTCACTGGAATACTTATTTTGGATATGGATGTGCCTTCCCTGCATGCAATGCTTCTGCCAAAACTACCACCTGCAGACTTACAGAATGCCTTATCCACCATCATGGTATCCCACACGGCATTGCTTCAGATCAAGGGACTCATTTCACAGCAAATGAAGTGCAGCAATGGGCCTATGTTCATGGAATTCACTGGTCTTACCATGTTCCCCATCATCCCAAAGCAGCTGGCTTGATAGAATGATGGAATGGCCTACTGAAAACACAATCACAGCACCAGCTAGATGGCAATATCTCGAAGGGTTAGGGCAATGTTCTCCAGGAGGCTGTATATGCTCTAAACCAGTGTCCAATACATGGTTCTGTTTCTCCCATAGCTAGGATTCATGGGTCCAGGAACCAAGGGGTGGAAACAGGAGTGGTACCACTCACTATTACCCCTAGTGACCCACTCAAAAGAGTTTTGCTTCCTGTCCCTGCTACCCTATGCTCTGTGGGTCTGGAGATCTTAGTACCAAAGGGAGGAACACTCCGACCTAGACACATAATACTGATTGCATTGAACTGGAAATTAAGAATGCCATCTGGCCATTTTGGCTTCCCCATGCCTCTGGATCAACAGACAAAGAAGGGCATTACTGTACTATCTGGTGTGATAGATCCTGATTACCAAGGGGAAATTTGATTGACATTACATAATGGAGGTAAAGAAGAATATGTCTGGAATACAGGAGATTCCTTAGGACGTCTCTTAGTACTACCATGCCCTGTGATTAAAGTCAATGGAAAATTGCATCAACCCCATTCTGATATGACTACTAATGGCCTAGACCTTTCAGGAATGAAGGTTTGGGTCACTCCACAAGGCAAAAAACCATGACCAGCTGAGGTGCTTGCTGAGGGCAAGGGAAATACAGAATGGGTGGTGGAAGAAGTACTGAATATCACCCATGACCACATGACCAGTTGCAGAAACGAGGACTGTGATTGTTATATTTCTTCACTGTATATGTGCATTAAATATATTTGTTTCCTTCTGTTATGAATTGTGAAATGTAAATAAGGTTAATGCGTTTCGGTTGTACGTGTGTTTAGCATGTTAGTGTGTTAGGTGCAAATATGACTTTATAATTGCCCTTATTTAGAGGTTAACAGCCAAAGCTTTAACCACTGTACCACCAGAGCTTCTTACAAAAGTAATGTAATTCCTTAAGACTATAATACTAATATTTTGTACTGAAGCAATACTGCTACTTTAGTCATTTATAAACTTTTAGAGTAGAGTGTGAAAGCATTCTAAAAGTCAGCTAAATAAATATCTCCTTGATTCCCTGTTTCCCTACCCTAATATTATGGAATAAAGTTGGTTCAGTTGTAGATTCTTTCACTCTATTACTTTCATGGTTTCTAGTTAGGACAACTTTCTCTGGAGTAAAGAAAACGATCATTCATTCTTGGTGCAAATGCCTATAGCATACTTCTTATGACGTTACAGATGTACATAACTTCATATGTTAAACAATCCAATGAAAGACTCTAAGTATTATGTATGTGGCAAAAATTAAGTGCAACATTACTATAGGTAGATGGTGAAGAATTAATTTTAGAGATGAAGCATCTCAACTTCTTTATATATAGCATAGGAACTATCAAACCTTACCTTACTGGTATAACTCTCGCACCTGCAGACTCCAAATATTTTACATAGGATGCAGCAATATAGTATTTTCCAAGGTTCTTCATCTTACTACGGCACCTTTGCATTAATATTCCTAAATAACAAAACAAAAACAAATTTAATTTCCAGCAATTTCCTTTTTTCCTCCTCAGAAACTAAAACCCATCACAGTAAAAATGTACTCTTGCAAATCACAGAAATAAGTATGAAGACTCTCCTGCAAGTGTATCCATAGACTTTGGGGAAACTGGGGAGGCTGATCTGAGTTAATGTAGCCTCTCCTCTCTCACTACATCATGGAGTCCTAATAAATCCTGAAAGCAGCTTACAGAACACTTCCGGTAATGAAAAACATAACTCAGACTAAAAATCTAACTCAGAGTAAAAACGCCATTGCCGTCTAGTGGCTTCTGACTCACAGCAACCCTACAGGATAGTGCAGAACTGCTGCATAGAGTTTCTAAGGCTTTACAGAAGTCAATGCCACATCCTTCTGCAAAGTGGCTGATGAATTCAAACTGCCAACTTTCTGATAGCAGTCTAGTTCTTAATCCACTGTGCCACCAGGGTTCCTGATCTCAGAGTACAAACCAAAACCAAAAACCAAATACACTGTCATGGAATTGTTTCCTACTCATAATGACTTTATATGACAGATTAAAACTGCCTGATACACTAAAGCTATAAATCTTCTCCTATAGAGTATTTGGTGGATTTGAACCACAGACCTTTCAGTTAGCAGCACAGCACTTTAACAACTGTGCCAAAAACAGCTCCTGGGCACAAGCTGATCCTTCTCACACACATCCAAAATGATATTACTTCCTTGATCAGTAGTACTGAATTGCCCAGTATCAGTAGTAGATTTCCCAGTCTTCCTTCTGTGGAGTTATTGATGGGTTTGAACTGCCAACCTTCTGGTCAGCAGTCAAATGCCTTAATACAGAGCTAGAAAACCTCGGGAGGAAGAAGTGGCATTGGAAGTACTTAAGGAATTCTAAGAATCATATTTAGGTACCTTCAGCAGATTAAGAGACAGATCCAGGAAAACAATGACAATATCAAGGAAATCACTGACAAAATTAAGGAAAACACAAATAAAACTCTAGAAAAATTTAGGAAAACAATACAAGAATAACTTGACAAAGTAAATGAAAATGTAAAAGCCATACAAAAATAGCAAATAGAAATCCAGAAGATTAATACTAAAATTTCAAAAATAAGTAACACATTAAAAGGGTGAAAGAGTAGAAAGGAATCAATGAGAGACAGAATTAGTGAGTCTGAAGACAAATCTCTCAATACTATTTTGTTAATGGAACAATCAGAAAAAAAATGAAGAAAGTCTAAGATTTATGTGGGACACCATGAAAAAGAATAACTTAGGTATGATCAAATTCCAGAACAACACAACACAACGCATTGCCATGGAGTGGGATCCAACTCATAGTGACCCCTCCTTGGGTTTCCAAGGTGGAATCACCATGGAACTAGATTGCCCAACCTTCCTTCCGAGGAGCTTTTAGTGGGTTTGAACTGCCAGCCTTTTGGTTAGCAGTCAAATGCCTTAGGCATTACACCACCGGAGCTCCCCAAAACAGGAAAAGACAAATGACAGATAAAATTATTGAAAATTTGTTGGAAGAGAACTTCCCTAATATAATGAAAGATGAGAAGATACCCATTCAAGATATTCAAGGAATCCCAAAAGGATAGAACCCAAAAGAAAATCACAAAGACATATCATAATCAAAGACAAAGACAAGGGCAAAGAAAGAATCCTGAAAGCAGCTTGGGAAAAACAAAAATTTACCTACAAAAGGACAAGCAATAAGATTAAGCTCTGATTTCTCAGCAAAAACTATGCAGGGAAAAAAAAAACAAAAACAAAAAAAAAACAATGGGATGGCACATATTAGACCTTGAAAGAAAAACCTGCAAACCAAGAATTATATACCCAGCAAAACTGTCCCTCAACATGACAGTGAAATTATGACATTTCCAGATAAGTAGTAATGAAAGGAATCTCTAAAAACCAGATCAACCTTACAATAGATGCTAAAGGCAGTCAGCATTTGTACAGAGAACCAACAACAGCAGAAAACCACCCATGATTAACACACATGACAACATAATCCAGAAGCCAAATCAGGTACAGAAATATCCAAAGTAAAATAAACTTATAAGACTGAAAACAGGGAACCAGAGATATGAATTTCTAAATAAGGACAACTACAAAGCAAAAAGAGAGAGGAAATAGTGGAGTAATAGAACTTTCAAATAGAAAGGAAGCCAAGATGGTTTCAAGATAGAATGGACTGAAAGTTCTGGTAAGATGGCAGAATAGGCAGAAGGACTGCACAGACCCTCTTCAACAAAGAAAAGGGGAACCAATTAATACAGATACAGAAGATAATCCCGGAACCCTGAGGCTTGAAGGGAAGGATATAGAACTGGACTAAACTCCAACAAGCAGAAGACTTTGCATGAAAACACCAAAAAAGTAGACATATGGAGCTGTGGTCTGGCAGCGATCCTGATGGCACAGACAGCTTGGATATTGCCAAGAGGTGCTAGGACCTAACAATTAGCCTAAAATTCAGCCCTGCTAGCCAGGGACTGCACAGAGCACTTCTGGTGGCTGGGAAATAAAAGGGAAAACAGCGAAGAAGAAGGTGGGCTGAGCTGCGGACTTTTCTCTGTCCAGAGGGCACAGCCATTTTGAATGTTTAAAAGTGGCTTGACATTTTTGGATATTTAAAGCAACAGTGTTCTCCCAGATTCCAGGAACTTAAGAACAGGCTCCACTAGCTAGGAACCCCAAGGACATTATGGACCAGAAGACTGGAAAGGTGAGATATTCCCCTTGTTACTCTTATACCACACACCCTCTTGGTGAATGGAGGTGCAGCCATCCCTCACTCCCACCCACTTTCTGAGCTGGCAGGCATTCCATCACAGTCTGAATGCACAGATGGGGCCTGGGTGCCCTGCCCTACCCCAATAATTTTTTTCTTTTATCCTATTTTTAGTTTGTTTGTTTTTGTCTACTTTAAAAACTATTATTATTATTATTACTTTTGTCTTTTTTACTATTATTCTTTATTTTTCCCCTCCCAGGTTCTAGTTTTCAGCTTTTCTTCTTTTTCCTGTTCCTGGTTGCAATTTTTTTTTTTTCTTCTTTCTCATGGATAACCCCTTTCCTTGTTTTTCTTTTTGCATTTCTCCCATTTTTTTCCTTCATTATTCTCCTTCTCTACCTTTTTTCTCTAATTGCCCTCTCCTCAGATATTTCAGGGGTTTTTCTTCTTCTTCTTCTTTTCCTTCTTTTTCCCTTTTTTCTTTTCTTAGTTACTGCTACACTGTGATTACATGGTGTATTTTTTGTCCATTTGCTTTTACTTTTTTGATGGTTATTCAATTGTTATTTTTGTCTGAGTGGAAGACAGCAATAGTCCCCATATGACACAACTACACCCACACAAATTTGAAAAACTGGAAGAAATGGACAGATTTCTAGAAACACACCACTTACCTAAAATAACAGACTGATATGGAAAAGTTGAACAGATCCATAACAAAAGAAGAAATTGAACAGGTCATTAAACATTTACCAACAAACAAATGTCCTGGCCCAGACGGTTTCACCAGAGAATTCTACCAAACATTCTGAAAAGGACTGACACCATTCCTACTCAAACTATTCCAAAACACAGAAAAGGATGGACTCCCCTCTAACTCATTTTATGAAGGAAGCATAACCTTGATACCAAAACCAGGCAAAGACATCACTCAAAAGGAAAACTACAGACCAATATCCCTCATGAATATAGATGCAAAAACCTTCAACAAAATCTTAGTCAATAGACTCCAACAACATGTCAAGAAAATCATTAATTATGACCAAGTGGGGTTCATATCAGGTATATAGGGATGGTTCAACATTAGAAAAACAATCAACGTCATCCACCACATAAATAAAACAAAGGAGAAGAACCACAGGATCATATCAACTGATGAACCCTTTTGCACAGTACTGCGTTGTCAGTGAAGGCAAACATGGGTATACAGGTGGACAGATGGATGGAAAGGCTAAACTATTAGATATGTCTATGAAGTGGGGAGTGTACCCAATATAATGTTGTAAAATGTCCCTTCTATTCTTATTTTGCTGAGAGTTTTGATCAGGAATGGGTGTTGGATTTTATCAAATGCCTTTTCTGCATCAATTGATTTGGGTGAAAAGAAGGGCAATATACCAAATGTGAGTGATCAACATGGTGGCATTGAGGAAAAGGAAGACACAAAGAGGTACATGGGAGGTACAGACAACAAAGATGAACCCTTTTGCACAGTACTGCGTTGTCAGTGAAGGCAAACATGGGTATACAGGTGGATAGATGGATGGAAAGGCTAAATTATTAGATATGTCTATGAAGTGGGGAGTGTACCCAAGACCAAGTATAGGGTTGGCAGACAGTGGTTCTACAAGTGTATTTGTATGTTCTGTAAGAAGTCTAGGTGTTTAGTAGAGCTGACAAGGGAGAAGGGTGTAGTCACTTCTTGGTCACAGCCAGCTACCTGGAGGGAGCAATTAGTTGAACCTGTGGGCTCGGGACCACAGTCACAGGGGACATCAAGCTCAATTGGCATAACACACTACACAAAACATTGTTCTACCTCTTACTTTGACTAGTAGCTTTTAAAAGCATCTTAAAAGATTGCAAGCAGGCATCTAGATGCAGCGATGGGTCTCTCCTCATCCAGAGCAAAAAATAATGAAGAAAACCAAAGATTCATGGAAACTATTAGTCCTGGTGACTGGTACACCATGCAATCCGCAGCCTATACAACTATGAGACCAGAAGAATTAGATGGTGCCCGGCTACCACTGTCAATCACTTGGAGGGGGAATCTATGTTGGAGATCCTGGAGAGAGAGGGAGAACAATGTGGAACAAAACTCAAAATCATTTGGAAAAAAAAAAAGGGGGGGGACCAGGTTTGCTGGTCTGATAGAGCCTGGTGAGACCACTGAGACTATGGCCCCCTGCTGCCCTTCAGGTCTGGAATTGAACTCACACCTGTGGCTTCC